AAAAAGTGAAATAAGACACACAAGACCAGAATAGAATAGTAGTTGTTAAAGCCTGGGAATTGTGTAGGACAGTGGGATCGAGAGAATGGTTAATGGGCATGGAGGTATAACTGGACAGGAGGAATAAGCTATAATGTTCCACAGCACTGTAGGTAACTGGTTGACAACAACTGATGACAAATGGTATCAAAATAAGTAGTAGAAAGAAAACTGAATGTGCCTTATACAAAGAAATAAATGTCTGTAATGGGTTTGCCAGTCACCCTGATTCAATGACTACATGCCACACTGCACCTATGAGAACACAGAACAGCAATAAAACCGAAGGTTGCCACAGAATTCTTTTTTCACAGCCAAACAAAATCCTTTACTCTGCCCTTTCCTTATACATGTTATGTCTTTCTTTTTCACACACACAACAAATACTAGTTTCTATGATATTTCTAAAATTGGGAAATCATATGATATGTTAAAGCACCTGGGCTCTATGGGTAAAGGTGGCAGCTGCCAAGCCTGACAACCTAAGCTTGATGCATATGATGGAAGGGACTAACTCTTCCAAGCTGTCCTTTAACCTTCACATACAGTGTGCACACACAAAACAAAATGCAACTAACACCTCCCCCCACCACAAATCACACCAAGGCACCCAGTATTACCATTTTATTTCTAGTTGATTTAAGTTTGGTCATTGTGGTGTTAAAAGTGTGTGTATTTTCTATAGTAGATAGAAAATTAGTTTCTGGTGGATACTTTTTTTTTTTTTTTCTTTTAAAGTCATAGGAATAAAAATCTCTGAAATTAGGTTTGATAAGTAACATGATTTCAGATAACCAAAAAAAAAGTGTATTATACCTAAAATTTTGTCACTGACCTAAAATATCTTCAGTGTGACAAGGGAGAAAAAGTAATTAAATTCTGGTAGTAACTTTTTGTCAAGTGGTAATCTGAAATCAAGGACACAAGACACACCTCTGTAATACAAAGACTTATGATTGACACACGTTTTTCTCATCACAAATACCAACTATTTCTAAAACTGGGAAATCATATGATCTGACTCCAGAACCTAAGTCACAAATGATTTGTAGCCTGATTCTGATGTACACAGGCCTCCTGAATCCACAAGTTGAACCAATTTGGATCAAAAAAATTACAGGGAAAAGCTCCTATGTATGTGGTGAACATGCAGACTTCATACCACCATTCCCTAAAGGATATAATACAACTACTTAAAGTAGCTATCTTAAGTAATCTAGGGGTCATATAAAGGACTTTGGGAACCCAGGGTTTTAGTATCTGCATGGAGTACTGGAACCAATCCCCTGGAGATAGTGAGGCATGACTATGCAGTGATCCTCCCCTATTCCTAATGTAAGTACTGTATAAATCAAGAATAGTTCATATTTGTTCCCCTTCTTTTCATGTGTATGTGTGTATGCATGCATATGACTATGGAGGCCTGAGGTTGATGTTGGGAATATTCCTTGATCACCCTTCTACCTTCTCCTTCAAGGCAGGGTTTCTCATCAAACAAGAGTTTGCCAATACAGCTATTGAATAGTCTCACTAGCTGACATGCTCTGGGGATCCATCATACCTACTTTTTTGTTGTTACTGTTGGTTTTTGGAGACAGCTTGAAACTCACTATGTAGACCAGTCTGGCCTTGAACTCAAGAGATCCAGAGATCCTCCTTCCCTTGCTTTCCAAGTGCTGGGATTAAAGATGTGAACTACCATGTCTGGTCTGCTCTGCCTTTTTTTTGGTCTTTTTGAGATAAGGTCTCCCTGTAGTTGCAGCTGGCCTGGATTTGCTAATGGAAACCAGGCTGGCCTCAAACTCACAGAGATCTGCCTGCCTCTGCCTCCCAAGTGCTGGGATTAAAGGCGTGTGCCGCTCTGACTTTTCATATGAGTTCTGGGGACTAAATTTTGGTCCTCTTATTTGCAAATGCTTTAATCATTGAGCCATCTCCTCAGTTCTCATACTTGTTTGGTCCAAACCTTTACTGTCAGGAAACCTGGTGTGTGTGTGCAGGTGTGCTTGCCTGTGCAGATGCACATGGAGGACAGAGGTCCTCTATCGATTTCTACCTTATTATTTTGAGAGAGGGTTGATCACTGAACCTGGAGCTTGGTGTTTGGGTTAGACTGGCCAGTATCCACCTGTCTGTGACCCTGTAGTGCTGGGATTACACACGTGTTCTGCTGCGCCCAGCTTTTAGATGGGTGCTGGTGATCCAAACTCAGGTCCTCATGTTTGTGTTGCAAGCACTTCAGTGGCTAAGCCATGTCCCAGCCCCCATGTCAGGAAATCTTACCAACAGTAATAGCAAAGTGGTGCTTGATTTACCAATGCTATCTCTTTATCAGCCCAGTTTTATCTACTGTAACAGATCATTTAGAAACAATCTTGTCTACTATGTCTTCTAGGGTAGTCATGCCTGAGCATTTGCATGTGGAAAAGCCAGCCGTTTTATTACATTGTTTTCTTTCTTCTTTGTACTTACAGGCATTTACTGGTTATTTTAAAACATGTACATTCATAATTGAGTTGTATCGCCAACACAATTTCATAAAGGAAGTTACAAAAGACTTGACTTGGTGTTTGACAAAACTGAGAATCACTGTACTATCCAGCCCAGTTTTATTTTGCTTTTTAAGCAGGAGGCACCCTTAAACATTAACTTGTCCTTGGGAACTAATAACATTAACTAATCATAAACTACTTACTTGACAATGAAAACTGTAAAAAGCCTTGTGGGTGAAAATAAGGCCTCTGTAGTTCCATTTGTTTTAATTGTAATTCTCTCACTTATCAGACCTGTGCTCTTGGGCAAATTTTTCCTTCTTTCTTCCTTAGTTTCTTCTTGTATGAAATGGGCTTTAAATATCACAGGCTAGTTGATAAACTTAATGGACATAACCCCCGTGATTATACATTTAATAAGAAACTGCTTATACTGTTTCTACAAGTGTAAAACTTTGTAATATTTTAAGGACTACAAAAGTCTTTTGAGGGCTGAAGATATAGCTCAACTACAGCGCATGTCTAGTATTCAGGAAGCTCTGGGTTCAATTCCCAGCACTGTATAAAACTGAGTCCATGAAATCCTAGCACTTGGGAAGTAGAGTCAAAGAGAATGATCCGAAGCTCAAGGTCATCCTTGCTTGGTAGCAAGTTTGAGGCAAACATGGACTACATGAGCTCCTTCCTCTTCCCCAAAATCCCAACAACAAAACTTCTCAAAAAAAACCAAAAAACCCTACAACAATAAACCTCCCCACAAACAGCCTTTCAACAGCACTCAGGAAGATTTTGAATTTGAGGCCAGGGTAGGCTACATAGAAAGAGCCACTCTCAAAAAAGTCTTTCAGGGGGCCAGAGAGATGGCTCAGTAAGCAAAGTTGCGTACAACAAAGCCTGACAACTTGTGTTCAATCCCCAGAATCCCCGGCTGGGAGGAGAGAATGAACTGCAAGTTTGTCCTCTGACCTCTACCTATGTGCACACATGCCCCCTCCACCCCAATTTTTAAAAAAGCCTTTCAAGCCAGGCATGGTGGTGCACGCCTTTAATCCCAGCACTCAGGAGGCAGAGGCTGGTGGATCTTTGTGAGTTTAAGGCCAGCCTGGTCTACATAGTGAGTTCCAGGCCAGCTGGGGCTACAGGGAGACCCTGTCTCAAAAAGACCCCCCCCCCCAAAAGGCCTTTCAAAGGCAGTAACCATGGCTCAGTAAGCACAGATCTCCATGTTCACTGCTGTGACTCAAGTACCAGCACTAATAAATACATATTTTTAAAAAACATTTTATTATTTTCATTTTATGTGTATGTGTGTATTGCCTGCATGTAGGTAAGTGCACCCATGTTGTGCAAGGCCTGCAGAAGACAGAAGAGACTGTCAGATCCCCTGGAACTGGAGTTATGGACAGTTATTAGCTGCCATGTGCCAGGTGCTGGGATTCAAACCTGGGTCTTATTAATTCATTTACAAATAAATGAATTAATAAGCTATTATTCAATTGGTGAAAATTTAAAGAAAACCAACATGAGGCAAAATTATGAATTATTCTGTACCGTTTTCTTACCTGTAAGAATCCAGGTAGCAAGTCTGAAAAATGCTTGAACAGAGCAACATTATGCTCGTTTGCAAGTATAAATGCAGCTGTAGCTCTAGCAGATAATGTCCTGATCTAAAATGAAGAGTGAATGAGGTCACACATGAAAAACTTTTGGCAGATACAAATTTTTACTCAAGTTGAACTTTATCAGTAAAGCTAACATTTGTATTTTAAGGTCTAAAAATAAAAATAGGGGGCTGTGAGACAGATAGATACTCAGTGGGTAAAAATTCTTGCCATGCAAGTCTGACAAACTGAGTTGGATCCCCCAGAACCCAAGTCAAGATGGAAGGAGAGAATCAACGCCCAAATGTTGTCTGTCCTCTTGTTGGCATAGGCATGCCCATACTCTCACACACATATCACATGTACAAAGATAATAAAATTGTATAAAGGAAAACTCTTCTACATTAATTTAACAAATTGGACTCAAAATAGGTGTTAGTATTAATGGGGCTGAAATTATTTACCGAAGGATGTTCCTGATCTTGCATACACTGAACTAACATCCGCTTGATGACATCTAAATAGTGCTGTTGTTGGTTCCCAAAAATTCCAGGAAAGTTCCTAAAAAAATGATTCAAAAACTCTTTAAGATCTACACTATATTTTTGCAAAGTATGAACTAAAATCACTAATGAAGTGTTTACCTGACTAAAACCATGCATTAGTCCTTAAGGTGAACATTTACAACACATGTTCTAAGCAATTTTCTTTCGAGGTTTAGCAAATGGAAACAAACATGGTAGAGGCCACTCAGCAGCCCACTCTAGTCTCTGTTTTAGCCTTTTCACCCTGTCTAAGCTAGCTGATCCAGAGTGAACGATGGGACAATAGCCCTACCTGCAGTAACTGTGCTCTTTGACCATCCACAGCTAGTCTTGTTCTGTTCTACTCTGAATTTGGTAAACAAGCTGAATGTTCTTACTTAACTCTTGAACCTGAATTACTGAAATAAACAAGGTGAACCGGACAACTAAAGAGGCAAGGCAATGTCTGAAAACTGCATGTAATGCCTATAAACCTGTAGGCTATAAACCCAGAACATTGATATTAAACGTGGTAGAAAACGAAATAACAAAGTAGGGAAAATAATCACCTAATACTAAGCTTAAATGAACTGTTTATGAGATATAGAATCCTGTTAAAATACTGTAAAAAACATGATAAAAAAACACCCAGAAAACATAACCCCTAGCACTCTCCTCTTCAAAATATCACCATCGAAGTGGTTTTTCCACAAGTTACATCTGGTGCTGTAACTACTCTCCAAATAAAGAGTGAAAACCGGTCAAGAGAGTTTTCAGAGTCAAAGACACACAAAGTAGTGACAAACAAGAAGCTGCTTTTTCTTTCAAATTTGTCTCTATCACAAACACAAAACTCAAAAGGCATTATTTTTATCTCTATGTCCCCAAAGCTAAATTAGGCTAAACAATCACCTAAAATGTTTCGGACTTTAATAACATTCTTCCAAAAAATGAAATCAAATTTTATACCAAAATATGTGAAGGGCAGCTTCCCGGAGTCCCATGTTTTGCGAGCTGACTGAATCAAAAAGGAACTTCAAACCTTCAGGCCACTGGTTGTTGCCATCCTCATCTACAAGTAGAAAGTCCAGGCATGAAGTGTGCAGATCGAACTTCAAATATTATGGGTGAACCCTTCTAGCTCATATACGTCATTCATAATATATCCGATGCAAATGTTACCTGTCTATTTAAGAACTCCAACACAATCAGTCTTTAACTCAGAAAAATGGCACTATAATTTTAAGATGACAACTTGAGTATCTGAAGGCTTGTACCTTACATATGAGTATGACTTAAGAGAGGTAGTCCTTTCAACTGTACAAATATCTGATTGTTAAATCCTGTGTATTATACTACTGCTAGGCAGAGCAAGCCATGAAATAAGAATTTGTATTTTCAAACTGTAGAGAACATCGGATTGAGAATCCTAGGACTCAGACAAGGTATGCATACTTTGAAATTTTAAAAAGATATTTTTTTGAGACAGGGTCTTACTTTGTACTCCTAGATGCTGGAACTTGCCACAGCCCAGGCTGACCTCACACTCTGGCTTCTGTCTCTGAATGCTGTTAGTACAGTCAGGGTCAGCATCACTGTGTAATTCAAGCACTATGAGATGTTATCAATGTTTCTTTCTTAATAAGAATAAAGCCAGAGTTGGTGAAGTAGGCCTAGAATCCCAACAATTTGACCGAGATAGGAAGACCATAATTTCAAGGCCAGTCTAGGCAACTTAGTGAGACCCTATATAAAAACAAAAAGTAAAAAGAGGGCTAGGAATATAGCTTAATGGTAGAGTGTTTGCCTAGCACGTGAGGCCTTAGATTTACTCCCTGCACTGCAAAACAGAGGGAGGGAGGGAAAAAGGGGGGAAAAAGGGGGCGGGGGATAGATCGGGGTGGAGGGAGAGGGAGAGTGAGAGGGTTAGAGAGAGAGAGAGACAGAGAGAGAGAGATATTGAGATTTTAGCCAGGAACAGGCTCAGGACTATAACCTCAGTATTTGGGAGGATGAGGCAGGACTGCCGCGCTCTAGGCTAGCCTGGGCTACATTGCAAGACCCTGTTCCAAAAAAAGCAGAAACATAAAAATATATTTATTTATTTTTTTAAAGACAGGGTCTCCCCACCCACACTTGGCCTGAAACTCACTAGGTAGACTATGCTGGCCTGTATCTCAGAGAGCCTTATACCCATCTTCCAAGTGCTGGGATTAAAGGTGTGTGCTACCACGCTTGGCTTAAAAATAAAGACCTTTAAATGATACTTTGTACTAAGTAATGAGTAACCATAAAAGGTATTGTGCCACTTATGCCACACATTGATTTCAATGTCACAAATAACTGTCGAAGCGTTTCAGAATAGTCTAGGCAACATAGTGAATCCTATTTCTTTTCTTTTTCTTCCCTTCATCTTTCTTAAAAAACAAAACACCAACAGAGTGGGGCTGGAGAGATGGCTCAGCAGTTAAGAGCACTGGCTGTGCTTGCCGAGGACCCAGGTTTGGTTCCCAGCACTCACATTACTGTTCACAACCATCCTTAACTCCAGGTTCCAGGGAATCCAATGCCCTCCTTTGGCCTCTGTGGGCTCTGCTTAATATGGATAGATGTACTTTACACGCAGGCAAAACATTCATACACATAAAATAAGTAAGATCTTTAAAATCTTTATATTAAAAGTAAAATCTTAACGACAACAAAAAAAGCAGTAACAAGAGCAATGCATAGCTGGACATTAAAGGTAATTGAAAAGGGAGTAGGATAGGTAGCCGAAAAAAGAAAAGGACAAAAGAGCCAGGGGTATGGTACTTTATGCCTGGAATCTTAAACTCAAGAGGTTGAGGCAGGAGAATAGTCAATTCAGGGCCTGCCTGGGCTACAGGCTGAGACTCTGTAACAGAAAAACAAAACAAAGGCAAGCATCTATACAAGGGCATTTTTAGTTATTTAAAAGTTTATTACTAAGTGACCTTTTATTGGGGGTGGAGGTCTTTTTGAGACAGGGTCTCTCTGCAGCCCCAGCTACCCTGGAACTCACTATGCAGACCAAGCTGTCCTCGAACTCACAGAGATCCGCCTGCCTCTGCCTCTCAGGTGCTGGGATTAAAGGCGTGTGCCACCACGCCCAGCTACGTGACCTTTTTTTGAGACAGGGTCTCATGTAGCCCAGGTTAACCTCAGACTTGCTACATAGTTGAAAATGACCCCGAATTTATGATTATCCTGATCTATCTTCCAAGTGCTGAGATTACAGGCATATGCTACCATGCTCAGTTTTATGTGGTGCTGGGAACTGAACTGAAGGCTTCATGTGTGCCAGATACATACTTTACCAATTGAGCCACACAGCCATAGCACCTTAAAGTGATTTTTAAAATGAGAAATGTCACCTATAAACATTTGTAGTTGCACATTTAAAATTTGAAAATGGAAATTTCTAGTGCACTTTAAAACATTTAAAGCATTCCAGGATTCTGAATTCATTTACCTAACATATAAAACTAAATATTATCTATTAGTTTTTAAGGATTTACTGATATAAAGATAGCCTACTGAGTTAAACAAGAACTTCATTACTATATGATGATATAGGAAAAACCAGCGCCAAGATGTCCTAATTTCAACTGATAACGCTCTCTCATTTAACCTCTATCTGCAAGAAGTATCCCTTTTAATTATTAAAAGTGCCATCTGTTAGTGGCTCAGCTGTTAAGAACACTGTTCTTGCAGAGGATCCGCATTCGATTCCTAGCACCCACAACGCAGCTAACAACTGTCCGTCACAGGGGATCTGACAGCCTTTTCCGTTCTCTGCAGGCACTGCACAACATGGGTGCACTTACCTACATGCAGGCAATACATGCATACACATAAAATGATAAAGTATTAAAAAAAATAAAAAATAAAAAATAAAAGTGCCATCTGGAGCTGGAGAGATGGCTCAGTAGTTAAGAGCACACACTGCTCTTTGCAGAGGACCCAGGTTCAATTCCCAGCACTCATCAGGTATCTCACTATCAACTGGAACTCCAGTTCCAGGGAGATCTGTCACCTTCTAGCCTCTTGTAGGGATCTGTACCCACATGGTACACATAAACTCATGCAGACACTCAAACATACAGAACAAACAAAAACCAACATTTACAAGTTTTCCTGGGGGCTGTAGGTTATAGCTCAATGAAGAATGCTTGCCTGGCTTGTATAAGGCCACATTCTAACCCCAGCAAAGCAAGATTAGAAAAATAATCCTTAAGACTATCCTTATATATTTTATATGGTACATAGTATAGTGTTTAACAGTGTACACGACAACTGGGTGTGGTGGTGCACACCTGTAATCACAGCACTTAGGAGGCAGAGGCAGTTGGATCTGAGTTCAAGGCCAGTCTAGTCTATATAGCAAGTTCAGGCCAGCTGGGGCTACAGGGAGACCCTGTCTCAAAAAGACAAAAAAACCCAAACAGCATACATGTGTACTGTATATATATGTTTACATGCACATAATGAAATTTATCAATAACAAAAGTACCTGAAATCCATAGGTAATCTACTCCAATTGGTAAATTTAATCTATAAAACAGTAACCTATCATTAGCTAATTTGTGCCTCTAAAACCATAGATTAAAGAAAAAATATAGTTAGACACATTGACACATGTCTGTAATCCCATCCCAGCACCTGGGATATGGAGGCAGGAGTTTAGGATAATCCTCGGGTACTTAGCAAGTTCAAAGTCAGTCTGGGCTTTACAAAACCCTGAACAAAAAAAGCCAGAAATGTTTTCTCCATTGAACATTTTGAACAGCAAATTATATTATGCCATTTCATAAACACCTATAATTTTTGACTATAAATATAAAATCTATAATCATATTCATTTTGCATAGCATAAAGTTCTCTGGTATCCATGAATCTTCCTGTAGAAGATCCTAAACAAAAGCAAACCCCCCAAAACCTCCAAAACCCACTAAATACAAGCAAGAAGGATATACCAGCCCCCATACTAATAAAATGTATACATACCTATTAAATTCCTGGCCAATTCTGCGGCAATATCACAAATTTTTTTTCTCATGCTAGATTGTGTTTCCATCTGAATAATCATTAGCAGTTCACTCTTGATGGTGGTTTGAACATCTGATGGAAGAGTTGGATAGACTTCATCAAATGCAGAGGACAAAAGACGTCTTAGGAGAACAGCAGCCATTTGTCTAGCCTATAAATAGATAACACTGTTAATAACTTTATGTCTTACTAGGGAAAATATTTCCTACCAACTAGGCTCATTCTGCCACTGATGTACTTCACTGTCCTGTTTTTATTATTTTTTATTATTTTTTATAAAATGCATATGAAACCTAAGTGAATTTTTTTTTCTTTATTATTTTTACTTTATGTGTATGAATATATTGCCTGCATGTATGTGAGTGCACCCGTGTCGTGCAATGCCGCGGAGGTCAGAAGAGGCTGTCGGATTCCCCTGGAACTGGAGTTAAGGACGGTTCGTAGCTGCCATGTGGGTGCTGGGAAACGAACCTGGGTCCTCCACAAGAGCAGTCAGTGCTCTTAACTGCTGAGCATCTCTCTAGCCTCTGTCCTATTTTTATAATTCATTTCAAAACACCTTTCAGTTTTATAAAAAAATGTAAAATATAACACTTTCTAATCACATTAGTTTACTTATCTAGAAAGCACAGGTAAGAGACCTAAACACATTAGAATTCAAGCAGCAATGATAAACTGTCAAAACTCCTGTTTCTTATTTTGTAAATGGAAAAAAAAAAAGGTTTATTGGGCTGGGGAGATGGTTCAGTGGTTAAGAGCACTGGATGTTCTTGCAGAGGACCTGGGTTTCCAGCACCCATGTGATAGCTAACAACGATCTGTGACTACAGTTCTAGGGGATCTGATACCCTCCCCTAGCCTCCTTGGCTATCACATGACATAGGTACATTTTCATACACGTAAGCAAAACACTCATATCATAGAGTAAAAATAAATAAAAGATTTATGTTTTATTTTATGTGTCTGCCTGCATGCATGTATATGCACCAAGTGTGTCTGGTACCTATGGAGGCCAGAAGAGGGTGGCAGATTCTCTGGAACTGGAACTACAGAAGCCTGTGAGCTGCAGATGTGGATGCTTGGAATAAAACCTAGGTCTTCTGCAAGAGCAGTAAATGCTCTTAACTGCTGAGCTGTCTCTCCAGTCCCAACTCCTATTTTTAATTGATTTGGTAAGAGAAAAGGAAATCTTGAGGGCTGGAGAGATGGCTTAGTGGTTAAGAGCATCAGCTGTTCTTGCCAAGAACCTGAGGTTGATTCCCAGGACCCACATGTCAGCTAACAACTGTCCCTAACTCCAGTTCCAGGGGAAACCAATGCCCTCTTCTGACCTCCACAGGTACTGCACAACACGGCAGCAGTAACATACATGCAGACAATACACTCATATAAATAAAATTTAAAAAAAATACTCTTTCTACCTAGCTTTAGGCATCCAACTTAAGACTACCGTGTCATGTAACTGCCTTTCGTCATTGGTCTGAGATAAAATGCTACCAAATCCATTTATCCTTATGCTTAAAACCCATAAGCTCCCAATATCTATCAATATTAATGTATGTTGAGATTTCACATGTTTAAACATGTGGAATATGTTCATTTTTAAATTTGGTGTCTTTTGTATAATAATCCTTGTGAATATTAAAGAAAAGCTGAAACAAATGCCCCAACTGTGATACTGAGGCAAAGCCACAGGTACCATCTAATTCCCAAACCCAAAAATAATTAACCCAAGAATAATTTAAGTAGAATTTAATATGGGCTCAAAAAAATTCAATGCCCATATTGTTACTGGCTTCAAAATATGTCTGGTAGCTGACTTGCATTCATCATCAACTACTGGAATGGCTATCTTTTTCTACTGATGGTAGTCTACCATGTAAGTCTCTTCTTCACATCCAGTGTCAATTACAGAAAAAAATGTTACAGAGGTTAAAGAAGCACCAGGTGCCATCTATTAAAGAGTAGAAAGGTATTTTTATACTTCTTTCTAAGGGACTGTAACCTCATTTCCATCAAATATTACCATCAGCATTTATATGTAATGAGACTATTATCAATGAAGTCTTTTTTTTTTTTTGGTCTTTTTGAGACAGGGTCTCCATGTAGCCCCAGCTGGCCTGGAACTTGCTGGCCCAGGCTGGCCTTGAACTCAGAGCTCTACCTGTCTCTGCCTCCCAAGTACTGGGATTAAAGACGTGTGCCACCACACCTGAATCAATGAAATCTTACTACAAACACTAAATACAATGTTTCATAGACAGTGTAAGTTTTCCAGACTTGTGTCAATATTTTTTCCAAAGTGAACAGATATTCAATACTTATGAGGATATTATTTTATGGCAGCTAACAATGAAAATTAGGTATTGAACACACAAGAATAGTAAGAAACTATCAAACCCCAGTAAACTGCTCTGTCTTACCACAGGAAAATGCATTAAAATTCAAACAAATTTGAATCTAATACATTAGATAATTCACATACTAAGTTGTAACTCTCTAGCAGGTATGTCTATAATCTCAGCACATGGGAGGCAGGCACAGGAAGATCTAGCAAGTTGAAGTCCAGCCTCTGCTACAGTGTGAGACCTTGTTTTTTTTTTTTTTTAGGGGTGGTGGTGGTGGAGAGATAGCTCAGCAGTTAAAGAGCACTGGCTGCTCTTCAGAGGACCCAGGTTTGGTTCCCAGCACCCTGTCCATAACTCCAGTTCCAAGGGGATCCAACACCCTCTTCTGGCCTCTGCAAGTACACGTACACTTACATGTTTATATATATGCAAACAAAACAAAATATTCAGATACATAAAATAAAAATAAATCATTAAAAAAAGGTAGGTTGGAGATATGGCCCAGTTGATAAAGTTGCTTGCCATGCATGCATGAGGACTTGAATTTGATCTGCAGCATGTAAAAGGCCAGGTGCAGTATCATACACGTATAACCCCAGCACTGGGGAGACAGGAGGATGCTGGAGCTTCTTGGTTAGCCAGTCTAGGTGAATCAGTGAGCTCCAGGTTCAGTGAGCTCCTATTTCAAAAACTAAAGTGGAGCACGACTGTGGAAGAGACCCAATGTCAACCTCTGCTCCCTCCTTCGACACATACATAAAAAAACAAGGCTGTGGGGTATGTCTTTCTTTCTAGGCACCTCCCTCATGCTTAAATCTTCATTAAAGTACCTCCTTAAACACACACATGCACACACACAGGATAAAGTCTCTGTTCAAGCTGCTCTTTAGCACATATGCTTCATCTAGAGATGTTTATATACACTAAATTTTTATAGATAAATGTACTTTTCCAGGCCAGCCTAGGGTACAATGACCACCCACCTCAAAAATAATCTTTAAAAATTAGTAATTATGTATAAAACCATCAAGTTTTATGTACCATGAAAATACCTTACATGAAAAAGGGAATTCTCATATTTAACACAGAATGCTTAAAACTGTTACCACTCTGACCATCACGCAACACTCCAGCTTGTTCCGTAAGAATTCTGCAATGTTAAGGTACTACCTCCTCAGCAGCTGTTGTATTTCTGATAGCTTGTAAGAGGAATGTGATCTTTGACTGGCCTGGGATATTCTCATAGGTTTCCTACATGGGAGAGAAAAATGAAAGGTTAGAATACAATGTTGGAAAACCTTCTGAGAAAATCAGTGACAGGAACGAAAGCATAGCAAACGGCCTCATACAAGCACAAGTCGCCAGGGCTCAGTGTTAACATTTTCTTTAGTGATATGCCGGGCGTGGTGGTGCACATCTTTAATCCCAGCACTTGGGAGGCAGAGGCAGGTGGATCTCTGTGAGTTTGAGGCCAGCCTAGTCTCCATAGTGAATCCAGGCCAGCTAGGGCTACAGGGAGACCCTACCTCAAAAAGACCAAAAAAAAAAAAATTATACACACACACATATACATACTTCAGCTAGGTTAAGGAAAGATGAGGTCTCTACTTACCTTTAAGGTGCTTGTACATTTTCAAAACTTGTATTCCCTGGCAAATAAAAAGTCATGCCCTACGAAAGCTAAAAAATTGTCAAATGTAACAAGCATAATATTGTGATACAGGGCTGCAGAGAACCTGGTTCAATTCCCAGCACCCAGATGGTGGCTAACAACTGTCTGAAACTCCAGTTCTAGGAGATTCAATGCCCTCTTCTGACCTGCATGACAAAGGTGCATTTATATACAAGCAGGCAATGCACTCATACACATAAATAAAAATAAAAATATTGTGCTGCAAAGTAAGTGCTCACTTTGGTATCATCCACCTTATATTCTGAAAATAAGTCTTGTTAGCATTTTTTAGACCAGACTATGCAGAGTTGGTTCAAATCCCCATTACTTACTACCATCGGATGTATGCTCTGGATTAAGACAAAGAAAGTACCCAAATTCCTTATGCTGTATTTTTAAGCAAACATTATGCTAATACCATATTAAGTGCTTAAGAAAAGCCTACTCAAATAATTGTAGTCAAGAGAAATTTGGCCAAGAAACTGTAATATCATGTCTGCATCTATTAGCAAAAGTTTTTGTGGGTCAGAACATATTTTCCCTTCTCTGTTAACATGCTATCAGAACAAATTTGTTAGCAATGACAAAAGGTGACATCAATCAAAAGCAGATTGTTAGAATGGATCCCAAACAAGTCAACTCATGTTGGCTGTGAACTTAAGTTGATTCGCGTACAAAATGTCTAACAATAGATCTCTTTTATTATAGAAACTAAATCAATGCAAGTGCATTGGGAACTTTCCCCCTAAAAATTTTCAGTAAATAACCTCCTTTCCCCCGTGGAAGGTCTACAGTAGATAATATTAATTTAGATCCAAGACCCTGCCTGCTCGTTCACTGGTTTCTCTAAGCAAAAGTGACAAGGAGGGAAAGGAAGGCTACTTCAAGCCTAAGCATCTTGTGCCTCTTTCTATGTGCTCCATGGCATCCCTGAGATATTGACAGGCAAGAAAATAAAGGTTACACCTTGAATGACTTAAGATCAAAGATAATAAATGACAGAACTCTCGTCTTCTAAGGCAAGCCATCCTTTAAATCCCTTTAGCATTGAAATCTCTGGGGTTCATGGGAGGTGGTGTGGCTAGTCCTACTTAAGAGTTCTATTTATATAGGGGCACACAGTTTTCAAATACCTCAAATGTATCTCAGTCTGGGGAAAAACAGATTTTTTGAGATAGGGTCTCCTTGTAGTCCTAGCTGGAATTCCCTATATGTAGACCAGGCTGACCCTGATTTCACAGAGATCTGACTACCTCCCAAGTGCTAAGATTAAAAGTGTATGCCACTACACCTGGCAGAAAAACATATTTTTGTGGTGAAAGGAGAATTTAAGAGCTTCTGATAACCTCAAGTTCCACTGTAATTAAAAGCACATAGGATCATAATAATGCTGAAAATTGTGCCCCAAAGTACTCATAGCTGAGAAGCTGAATTTGTCCAGAAATGAGATCATTTATATCAAATATATTCACAAGCTGATTACAAAAACATGTATGTACCTTGAGATTTCTCATTTAATTTTTACTAAAGCAACTCAAAAGCCAGCAAAACTGCCATTAAAAAAGTCACAGGGCTAGAGAGATAGCTCAGTGGTTAAGATGACTGGTTGCTCTTGCAGAGGACCCAGGTTTAATTCCCAGCGTCCACATGACAGCTAACAACTGTCAGTAACCAGTTCCAGGGGACTCTGACGCCCTCTTCTGACCTCAGTTATTGCACAACCCCGGTGCACTTATACACATGCAGGCAATACACTCATACATATAAAATTAAAATGTTGGGGCTGGAGAGTTGGCTCAGCAGTTAAGAACACTGGCTGTTCTTGCAGAAGACCCAGGTTCGAATCCCAGCACCCACATGGTAGTCAACAACTGTCCGTAACTCCAGTTCCAGGGGATCTGACAGGGTTAGGGTTAGGGTTAGGGTTAGGGTTAGGTTAGGGTTAGGGTTAGGGTTTTTGACCTCTGTGGGCACTGCACGATATGGGTGCACTTACCTATATACAGGCAATACACATGCACACATAAAATAAAATAAAAATATTAAAATAAAAATATAAAAAAAAAATTAAAAATCCCACAGAGCTGGTTGTGGTGGCTCATGCCTGTAATTATCGCACCTGGGAGGCTGAGGCAGGAGGATTGCCTAGAGTTTGAGGTCAGCCTGGGCTACACTATGAGACTGTAAAAAACAAAACAAAGAAATACAATACAAAAAAACACCAACAGAAACCTCATTGTGCAATAACAACAAATAAATATCTCTTAATTCCTTGCACCTGGCACAGTGTCTGACCCATAGCAGATGCTATAAACAGTTAACGTGTAAATCTCTGGTGGTCTAAATCACATTTTTGGAAAAAAATTTTTCCTCTCCTAGGCAATCATGGCTGATAAATGCTGCCCAATTTCTGAGACCTCTACCCTTACCAGGATGGACTACTGATGTCACTACTGCAGTGCTTGCACAGACTAATGATACTAAGTCAAATATTCAACAGGATTCCATAATGAATTACAAGTTAATAGCAGGAAGATTCAGTATGAATGGCATCTAACTCCCAAAGATGGTCTGGTTCCACTTGTACGTTCCACTGTGGGAATCCAAATAATACTGTATTACATTCACTCCAGAAGAGTAGCCAAGGATATTGGCTGAGCAAAAAGAACACTGCCTTAAAGTCAAGTGTATCTTTTTCTTAGCCTAGATAGACTAAGTCCCAAAAAGAGATTGCATTCCTTCATTTTTGTATCCTGTGTATCAAATACATTAAAATACAGCAAAGATTATTCCTCGCATTAGTCCAGACGCATCCAGTGAGTGTTTCCAGTGTTGTGGCAAATTTTCAGTTCCACTATCTACAATCATACCATGTCAAGATTTTGCCTCCCCTTTCCCTTCCCACAAAGGAGAAATGTTAGTAAGTACTCATCTCACACATTCCATAAATATTTATGATCAGAGTTCCTTGCATGAGAAAATGGAAGAGAATAAGCAATTTCTACTTTATAAACATTTTGGTTCCTTAACAATCAAATATACTTTATAATATTCTTCTTCAATACAAATCTTAACAATGAAACTATGTTATAATCAATTAGGAACCAAATATGTATGAAGATTATTAAAAATGTAAAATCTGCACATACAATTAATAAAATAGTTATATCACATGAAATGCTATTATGACTATCACAGATCCTAAACTTTAACCTGTCAATTATATATTTAATTGCTTATTCATGTTAATTATTATATTTTGAGACATAAGGGCATTCAAAATCATTTCTCTAAATATGAGAAACATTTTCTACAGAGTAAAAGTTCTTGCAGATTTGAAAAAAAAGGTCTTATTAATGGCTCATACAATGGAAAAATATTTAAAATGATTTAAAGCCTTTCAATTATTTCAACAAAATCTAGCAATGTCTTTCATTGTACTTGAGTTTATATTTGAATACAGGTCACCTTCGTCAAGGGTTTGGTATTTGTGTGTCAACTAAGTATTTTTATTTTGACTGAGTAAATTACAAAGATATTTACTGAGCCCATGCCAATGCTTTAGTTCAAGAAAAGTACTTTCATATTTGCTTGATCAGACCTGGTACTCAATTTTGTTTAGATTTCTTATAAAAGGCTTATTCTCTCAGGCAAAAAGGGGCTACGGAGATATCCTCATGCAGAGCCATTTCTTTCCTCAAATACTTGCTTTACTAGGAAGTTCTATTTACAACTTAGTATTATACTATATGTTATCAAAGGGCATTCCCCCCCAGCATTTACTGTTTTGTCAAATTAAGAAATTGTGTGTCACAGCACTTACTTTACATAGAAACATATTCTTGAAATATATTAGGTAAAAAAATGCAGTATCTGAATGTTTTCACCAGAAATAAAGAGACTAAGAGTACTAACATGCTTATTTCTGATAGTTCTTTATAAGAAAATGTGCTGAATGCTACTATCCCCAAAGTGATGTCAAAGAGAAAAGATTTACAACATGCACCAAACTGGAATTCAAGCTGAACCAGACACTAGTGTTTAGTTCAATAGAAGAGAGATTCCCCACCAGGCCTAACAATAGAGACTTAAGCAACTGGAGGGAAGGGGGAAAATTAAACTGGCTTACTAATTACAATGCTGTTCTGCTTTGCAACACATGGAAATTTCTCCTATGGGATGATATTAAGAATTTGCTTTGGTTAAAAAAAAATTACCTCTAGAGTTTGCACAAAGTATCAAAATGTTTAGCGTCATCATATCCCAAGTGCAAACTGGTGCAACTGACATATGCATACTAAATATGAATGCTACCTTTAAGCATCCCACAAATAAACCTTGCAATGCATGCAAAGAAAGATACCTGTGTACTTTTTATCTTTAAGAGTAGGACCCTAGCTAGGCGTTGTGGTGCACGCCTTTAATCCCAGCACTCCAGAGGCAGGCGGATCTCTGTGAGTTCAAGGCCAAACTGGTTTACATATCAAGCTTTAGGTCAGCTGGGGCTACAGGGAGACTGTCTCGAAAAGACACCCCCGCCCCCAAAAAAGAGTAGGGCACTGGAAGGATTAATTACTCATTCACAGGGTGATGTCAATACAAATAATACATCTCATCTATGTGATGTATAATCTTCCAGGTGCTTCAGAAAAACAACAATGTGAAAGGTACTGATTGAAAAATGCAGCTTCAAAATAACCTGTGTATTGTAAACCCACTCAAGAAAAACTGGATGTACACATATATACTTTCAAAGATGTATTTTTAAGTGGTTACCTTCTGAGAATGGGTTAAAAATTATCTGTACTATTTGAATTTCACTCTGGACACTGTATATTAAATAAAATAAGCTAGGCATGGGGACTCCTGCCTACAATCCTAGCACTCAGGAGGCTGAGGCAGGATTGCCACAAGTTTGGAGAGTCACTGTGAAATAAAATGAGTTCCTCCAGAGCTTGGCCTACAGAGTGAGACGTTGTCAATCACCCTCCCCACCAAAAAAGTTAGATAGTGCTTTTTCATACAGAAATGAATTTCCAGTATATTTACTTCCTAAACTACTAAGTGTGCCCAGAATAACCTCTCTACTCAAACAGTATTAACAACACTGGTTTAAAGAGTAGTCACAACTTTTGGGCCAATGAATACAAGAGATATGTCAACCTCATTACCTAGATGTAAAACAGATTTGGCTCTGTAAAGATATCCAGTGAATCTTATGAAAACTTAGATCACATGGTTGCAAGGAACTCCGGGTATCATCAAGTTTAAGGGTCGGCTGGAAAGTTTCTCCCTTTCCTAGACGTTACCTCACATTAAATCCTGGTTTCATCACTAACAATGAATCTTCCACTGAACCAAGTCTTACTGTTAGTTTGCAAATGGGCTTACAGTTGCAACTTAAACGGAAAGATTCCGCACTATGATAGCCAGATTGCGAAGGATGGGGCTGGGACCTCCATCGCATTTACGTTTGACCACAAATCTCTAGAGATCAAACAAAATGCGTGTGAAAGAACGAGCGAGGGGCACGATGCTTAGCAAGAATCCCTAAAGGCAACTTCGCACCGGGCTGCGAGAGAGCGGCTTGTGGTATTTCCTACTAGAACCGAGAAAAGGGCTCCATGAAAAGACGCCGCAAGGCAGCGACAGGCAGGGCACATGTTTCACGTGGCTGGGATGGAGAAGGGAGGGACCGAAGCGAGGGGGATGAGAAGAGGAAGGGGGACCCGGCCGGGCTGGTGGGCCAGGAGGGGAGAGAGCGGGAAAGGCAGCGAGTTGGGGTCCGGGCCCGCCGGGCTGCGCTCCTCCCCGCGCTGCCACCTCCGGGCGGGGCGGCGCGTCAGGCGCGTCCGCACGTGTGTGTGCGCGGGCCGGCAGGGAGGCAACCGGCGCCCCGGCTGCAAGGGCCGGAAGGGCCGAACGCGGGCCGCCTCGCACGTGGGCAGCGGAGCCGCCGCCCGGCCACCCGGCCCCGGCCTGCGCCGCTCGGTCGAGGACCTCCCAGGGCCCCCGGGGAGGCTGGGGAGGAGAAGGGAAGGCGCGCCGGCCGCCAGGGGCCACGGGGTCACCAGCTCGCTTACCTCCGCCTGTTTCCGGACCACATTGTCGGGGCTGAGCAGGTTTCCTAGGAGCAGGTAGAACTGTTGCTGCTCCGCCGCGGCCGCCGCCATTGCGCTAGGCGTGAGAGAGAGAAGGAGGGAACCGTGAGGCGCGCTGGCGGGCCGGCGGGAGGGTTGGGGGCGGGCCCACCACGGCGACCGGCACCAGCGGCGGCGCGGGACTCTGGGGCCAGGCGGGAAAGGGCGGGGCCGAGGGGAAAGGGAGGACGGGGTGGGGCCTCGTGCCCTCTCACCTCGTCGCGGCCGCCCGTGCGCGGGTCTCATTGGCTCGTGGCTTTGGGGGGCGGGGCCGAGGCCACCTCCTTGAAGGCCGAGACGATTGGCCACGCACCCGGCGTCACTGGCCGCTCGCGCCGGCTAAGTGACTCGCGTGTGTGTGAAAAAAAAGAACCCCTCACTTCACTAATGAGAAAACACAAGGGGTTTGCTCAATAGATGTGTGTGTGTGTGTGTGTGTGTGGGTGTGTGTGTGTGGTGTCTCTCTGTGTGTGTGTGTGTGTCTCTGTGTGTGTCTGTGTCTGTCTGTCTGTCTGTGTCTAAGTGTGTCTGTGTGTGTCTGTGTCTCTGTGTGTGTGTGTCTGTGTCTCTGTGTGTGTGTCTCTGTGTCTGTGTGTGTGTGTGTGTGTGTGTCTCTGTGTGTGTGTGTGTGTCTCTGTGTGTGTGTGTGTGTGTGTGTAGGGCAGTGGATGGCCGTGTGTGTGTGTGTGTGTGTGTGTGTGTGTGTGTGTAGGGCAGTGGATGGCCGTGTGTGTGGCAGTGGATGGCTGTGTGTGTGTGTGTGTGGTGTGTGTGTAGGGCAGTGGATGGCTACGCTGGCCGGTTGGGGTTGGGGCCGGGTCCGCGTTGCCTGGCGGGCGGGCGGGGAGGAGCCGGCTCGGCCTGGCCTGGCCACCGCTCCGGGCGTGAGGCCGGACTGAGGAGGAGGGGCCAGGGCTTGAGCGCGGGAGATTTCGGCGTCTCGGGGTGGCCGCAGTCCCTTCCCTGCTGTCCGACGCGTGTGCTGCACCTCAAGCCTAGGGCCGGGATCGCCTTAGCGGCAGACCCTTTGGAAGCCCCTTTCGCGTCTCCATCCGCCCCCAGCCGCCGCAGACCCCTGATCTGTCAGCCTCTGCGGCCTCCCTCAGAGCTGTGACTCAGGCGGCCCCTTCCCGCTAAACTCCCGGGTGACTCACGCCCCAAGTCTGGCCGGGAAGAGGGGTTGCTCACCCCGGGACTCTTCCCGCGGTGCCCCGCAACCCGCGGTCTCGCTGGGATGTCCACATAACACATGCTTCCACTCCACTGTCCCGGGATCCTTTGCTGTCTCAGGTTGGGGAAGTCCTGAGATACTCCCAAAAGTGGCTATGGTTTGTAAGGCTGATTTTAATGTGAGTTTACGCCCTCGAGAGCCCTGATTTTACTTACAGCACTCCAATACACAAGCATAATCTACTTCTCCAGCTGGGGCTGCCAAAACTGGAAAAAGCAGGATTCAAATCAAAGCCACTGTTGAAAGTCTACTGTGGCCAATACGTTGCCTAGGCTAAGGTTGACGGGGGAATTTCATTTTTGTGTCAAAGTGACATGACATCCGTAAGTGATGGGGATCCACAGCAGGTGGGATGGGAGTGGTCTACACCGGCAGCCCATGGAATTTAACTTAGTGACTCTGCTTTTCTTAAGTCTTAAACACTTAAGTCTTAAACACTTGCTCTTAATTTTAGACTGTCTTATAACTCCTGAGGCCAGTATATGCAGAACCTGGGCCTAGGGCCTGGGATCCACATGGAGTTGTGAAAAAGCAGCCAAGGTTTTTACAATGAAATCTAGTTGATTTGTGGAAAAAAGCCCTCAAAAATTTGAACCGAGACAGTGATAGTGATAGGGGCCTTTCCCTATAGGAGGCTTGCAGGCCTATTTTGTACAACTGTTTTCCTACATTGGATACGTTTTCTTTGGCCACATTACTTTTTTCAAAACAAGACAATTACATAGTATTAATTTGGAGCCTTTTCCTTATTTAAACTTATTAAAATTGGGGAACTACATACTAAACCATTTTTAATAACCAGGATAGCAGTGAAGTAACACAAATTGCCTAAAGACTTGGTTTGGGTATGGCCTGATTTCTGGTTATTGTTTAACACCTGCTATGGTATTTTTTTATTTCAGACTATAAATCGCATATATTCAGGGATGAGTATGTAGGTCAGTTGGTAGAGTGCTTGCCTAGCACGAGTGAGGCCCAGAGTTTGACAGCACTGCATACACCAGGTGTAATGGTTCAGGCCTATAATCCTAGCACTTAGAATATAGAGACAGGAAGATCAGGAGTTGGTCATTCTTGGCTATATAGGGAGTTTGAGGTCAGCTTGGGTTGAAATATAAATACTCATTTAGTGATTATTAAATAATTGATCTTCTAATTTGTTTATAGGTGTGTCAAGAAAAAGCTACACCTGAGTTTGTTTACTGCATTAGCCTAGGCTGGATCTTGAAGTCTTCATGTACCTCACGATAGCTTTGAAGTTGAAATCCTGCCTCAATCTCTTGGGTACTAGATTAATAGGCACTGGCCACCACACCCAGCTGGGAGCTTCTTTTTCTTTTCTTAATGAGACAAAGCATGAACTTGATGTTATTTCAACCTAGAAACAGCAATTTTGTATTAATAGTGACATTGGCTGCTCAAACATGGAGTCACAGCCCAGCCATATTGTAAATATTCCAATCAGAAGGAAAGGGAAGGATGTTTAAGGCCAATTGATTAAGAGATTCTCAAATGGGAGAATTCTAGTAAAGCTGGGACCATATATATCCTGATAATTGAGGCTTCCAGAAAGCCTACAAGATGGAGGCTACTTCCTAGCAGGCTTGCTGTTTGGACTGTTTGTAATGCTCTGCTTGTGTTTGGGGACATTGCACATAACAACACATTTCCCACAGAGGGAATCCTGGAATCCTGTGGGTTTCATAACAGTATTATTTTTCTCTAAGAAAATAGTGTATAAAGACAGCTGATGCATGTGTGCACGCATGTGCATGTACATGCACACACAAATGTTTTTCAAGGTAGGATAGAAGAGCAAGAGCCTTGATTTCTAATTTAGTGGGTTGAAATCTTTAGCTTATTATTAGTGGTATAAGTACTTTAATGTTGCTAAGCCTCAACTTATCTATAAAATAGGAATAAGAAGTACTCTATTAATCAACAAAGGTTCTAACATGAAGTCATGCCTCATTAGCTGCCATTGCTTTGGGCAGATCTACTTCAATGGCTAGTTCCCCTTCCCTTTCCCTTTCAGTTTATTAGACCTGACTGACCTCCATTAATTGCTAGAGGCACGGTTTCTTACAGGATTACAACCTTTTATTTATTTATTTTTTTAAAAGGGGGGTTGTGGTGGTGATGGTAAGGTTAGGGGAAAGATTGGAAGCTTCTCTCAGTCTTTAGTGCAGTCTGGGTCTAGCACTTTAGGGTTCCTGGTGTTTTGCCAGGATACTGCAGGGTGTGGATGTGACACTTTAGGAATGGTTCAGGAGGTAGGACCCCTTAACCAAAGAGCATTGCAATTCTCTCCAGCTGCTGCTAGGGGTTAGATGGGCTCACTGGTGATGGGAGAGTTCTGGAAATGGGAGGAGGCTGGAGAAGTTGAGTTAATGATACTGCAGGGAAAGATTCTTAGCTGAAGTAGAATTTGGGCTTGTCCTTTCTGTTATGTAGAGTACTGAATGTAAATAAGATTCTCCCAAACAAACAATGGAATTTTAAAAAGCTGCCCCAGGGACTCCATAAGAGCTAGTTAGCAGTCCTGGTAGTTATCAGCACCTGTGTTCTTGGTAGCCCAGCTGCTTATCTAAATTACCAATTTAGATAATACAAATAAAAGCATTCTAATCTATCCTCAAATGTAAGGTGATGGAATTATTTATAGGGACTTGTATTAATCGTTAACCTGATGCGATGAAACATCTGTAAAATAGGAATAATGGTCTTCATAAGGATGTTGTAAAAGGGGTAACATATTTTTTATTTTACTTTTTTTTGGTCTTTGTGAGACAGTCTTCCTTCAGCCCTGACCAGCCTGGACCTCACTATGTAGACCAGGCTGGCCTTGAACTCACAGAGATCCACCTGCCTCTGCCTCCTAAATGCTGGGATTAAAGTGTGCGCCACTGCTCCCAGTGCAAGTAATTATTCTTAAAGCTGTGTAGTTGTGTGCCTCACATTTGTGTAAAGTGCATTTGTTTTTTTATTAATCTTCCATCTGTGCAGAGCGAAATAGTATGAGGGATGATCTTCCAAGATGATGTCTATCTGAGGGATCAGCAAAAAGGAGAATGGTTGGAAAAGTAGTTTTCATGAAAGTCAGTGTGCTGAAACTGCTCACAGTGTTTTAACTACTATCAAAACCTCTCAGCCCTAGCTCTGAAGCAGGCTGTTCTAGTGAGAGCACCCTAGCCAGGGGCAAGTGGGAGCCTAACTTCCTGAAGGACACTGCACACTATAGACTCTTAGCAAACTGTGGGACTGAACACTGGACAGGAAAGAGTGTGACACAATTACTTTCTTTTGTGCCTTCCCTTCTCCCTCTCTCCTTTCTTCTCTTCCTCCTCTCCCCCCCCTACACATTTGAAAATCACTGAATATCTGAAGGTGAGTAGTTTCTCTTTATGGAAACAGAGTTTGGAAGCTGGAGGAAGAGGCACCCGAAACCAGCTTGTAGGAGAGCTCAAATAAGGCTCCTTAACTTAGATGCCCTGTGAACTTGCCCAACTTAACCTTCTCAGCCTGTTATCCTCTTCTATGAAGTGGAGCTAATATGAGGATTTTTCAATACTTACCAAAGTGGTGGCACAGATTGGCATAGTGTTGCCCAGCAGAGAGGAAATGCCTCACAAATGTTCTAATAGCTGTCATGAATGCAGACTGGAATTTCTAAAATTTGTAAGTTTAATTCCAGTTGCACATCTGCCTGGGAAATGATCACATTTTAATACTCCCATTATAAAAGCAGTCTTGTAGCAAGAATGTATAATAATGGTGGTTGGGCTGATGAGATGGCTTAGCTGCTAAAGGCTTTTGCTACTAAACCTAACACCTTGATTTGATTCTCCATGTGGAAAGAGATAATTGACTTTTACAAGTTGTCCTCCAGCTTACACACATACCCCCCAGGGGGGAGGGGGAAGGTAACTTTAAAAAA